TTTTTTTTTTTTTTTTTTTGGGGGGGGGGACACTAGTTCTTCACACTGCAAGAAGGATGTTATTTTTCATTCTTTTGTGATGTTTCTTTCATCCATCAAAATTTCTTTCAAGTGTGATGTCGCATCATTCAAAGAAATTGTTAAATGAGTGTGTTTTGGGTGGTCTAGTGACTGGTTATGGGACCTATTCACATTCAAAATTACAGGCGGAGATGGAATAAATCATGAGGTTGCTCTAGGATTTGTAGCTGGCTTTTGCTTACCTTTGTGTTTAGTATATGGGGAATAAAGAAAGTTGACTATCTTTTCTTTGGATGTCGACATTGAACAAAATTTAGGATCCGGTGCTAAGTGCACCTTCATTGTGTTTGGCTGTAGCAAAAGCTTTAGACCGACGCTGTAAAGTGCTAAGTGCATCTTCCTTGTGTTTGGCTGTAGCAAAAACTTTAGACAGCCGTTGTAAAGTGTTAAGCCTACTGTACTTTTCCATGGATGATCCAAGGGTCAAGCGCTGCATGTTTTATCAATAATGGTTTCTATTTTTTACTTTGTCATGATGATCATCACAACAATCGGAGCTATCAATATGTATTACTTCTTTGAGATTGTAATGGTCAGTTGGCTGATAAAGATTTATGTTAAACATTTTGCACTGTTGATTTTCTAGCATCATCGATTCAAAATCATAAGCATCTGAAGCATAGTTAATAAATCGAGATTTGTATCAGGAATCAAAATCCTAGATTTAAGAATCAGGAATCGTAAAATTCGACACAAAATTCGAACAATTATAAAAATAACGTGTACATATTTAAAATAGGCAAGATATTCAATATTGGACATTATTGTATTTTAAAAATAATCAGTTGATGGTATTGACTTCATCATGTTGTCTAAATGGAAAGATACTAGTTTTTATAAATCTTTATAAAGCTACACTTGAGGATGTACCTCTATTACTACTTTCTTAATGCATAATAAATTCTTCCCTCTAAATGGTCACAATGAAAGATGCATAATTTTTAACCTAAGAAGCACAAACATTCTGACGGGGTTGACGTGGTGGTATTGGACACGTGTCCGATACGGATACGCGTGGGACATGGCCAGGCACGTGTCCGATACTTTCACAAGTGTCCTGAACAGAAAATAAAAAAATTGAATATGGGAGGGATACGGGATCTACAACAGATCTGCAAGCCATGGATCTAAACTTTTATTGGCCAAGTATGTTGAAGAACTCTTCTTCTTTCCTTCTTCTCTGTTTGACTCTTCTCTTGTTGCGATATGGAGATCTAGATCCTATCTTGCTCTCTCTCTCTCTCTCTCGATGTGATCTGTGTTTTGTATAAAGACATCGGTTTCCTTTTTTTTTATTAGTCACGCCAGTCTATCTCTTTCGTCATTTAAACAAATTAAATAATCAACCGACTATCCATATTAGCCCACTCAATTAGAACCTTAAGTAATTAACCCATTATCTAATTTAATATTAACTCATTGTCTAATTATAAAATATTAATCAATTGGTCAATATTTATTAATTTATATTATTAATGTTTCTATTAATATAAAAATATATAATATTATTTTAATTAGTCATATCCTTGTTGTACCTATGCCCTATACTTTGAAATTTTGTCGTATCATCGTGTCCGTATTGTATCGGATACGACATCCGTGTCCGTATCCGTGCTTTTTAGTTTTTAACCAACTAATAGTTATTGTCTTCCTACTAATGAAGTTAAACTAAAATAGGAAAAGCTCATACTGATTCAAATATGTAAACTTAGAAAATCACTTGTCACATTCGATTGAAAATAAATTTTTGATGAAAAATAAAAAATAGAGCATTTATTGAAAAAGAAAAAGAAGAAGTAGGTTGTCAGGTTTTGGTAGTTGTTTTTGAAGAAGAAGAAGAAGAAAAAACATATCTAGAGTGAAGGAGACATTTTCTCTGATATTTATAGACGCTTGAACAGTCGCATGAAATGCAAAGACGCAAATATGAGATTTAGGGAGAGACGTGAGTTTTATATTTGGGGCCTTTTATAGCAAAACGACATTTTGAATATCTAACAGTCAAAAGGACGTTTTACTAGAAATAGGGCTAAAAAAATAATAAAACAAATCGTATGATTCCTTTGATTTGATTTGAATCGTACGATTCTCTGTCAAAAATGATTCTATAGTAAGATACGAATTGAATTAGGACTAAATTGAATCGTGAATTGTATGATTTTGATAACAATGATTTGAAGCTTAGTCAGTTTTGGCTTTTGTTGAATGATATTACTAAGTTCCTTAGCTGAATCAAGAATGCAAAATTTCCTATTAGAAGACAATGTACATGGACTTTTGCGGAGGTATATAATTTTCAAGTACTTAAAAGGTGATCCTTTTTGGTGCTTATCGATTCGTGTTATTTAGAACACATTTATGCATTTGATGCAACCTTGTTCTCAGTTTGGGAGAAAGGTATTGAAGTTTGTGCTGGGAACGCATGAGGGTCTTGTTACGAGAACATCTCCACAAGATGTTAAGTGCCGATCAAAAGGGTTAGTTGACACTTCACAGAGATTGTGCACCAATTTTGTCTGTCTTTTTTCTGTTGGTTCAACGATTCTGTACTCTAGGTGACTGAGACCACTTTTGCATCCTGTTCTATTTTTCGTAGATTGAAGGATTCCGTACTCTAGTTGACTGAGATCGCATGTGCATCCTTGTCATCTTTAATGGGAAGATATGAATGTAATAAAACATATACAAGTAAATATGAGTCAAGTGAATGCTTAGGTATACATCTATCTTGAGTATGTGACGCAGTTGTGGTTTCTTCAACAGTTACCATACATTTTGGCTTTCAAATAAGATTGGGTAATGTAGTTGTGATTACTTTCATATGACTTGGTCTATTTTCCGTTATTGCTATAACTATTGATCTCATTTTACATTAACAATCTTGCTGTTCATGATACAGCAGAACTGTAGTATATTGTTCTGTTGTTGGTTTTTCTAACATGGAAGAACTAGACTAATATTTTTTTTTTAATTTTGGTCACCGTTCCTCACTTTTATGAAATTATGTAATGGCAGGCTTACTCAAATTCGTTGTCAAGTACTTTGTTGCCTGCAAATGTTCAGCCTGTGAGAGAGTCGGATCTTTCGTACTCACCTTTTCCCTCGCAATCAATGCCTGCAAAGTACGGCAACGCAGTGTCTTCCATTGGTGGTTCGATCATTTCCATGTCAGAGGTACCTCACCTGGACCAAGTTACTGGGATTTTTACCAAATAGTTCAAGTTCATGAGAGGTCGATTAGCTATGTGCAATTAGTTGAAGATGGATAACAAACATGCCTTTGTTTTGTAGGTTATAAGTTTGTGACAATAAAAGAAAAAGAGAACATGGTATTCATACAAAATGTGAAACATCCATGCTCTTGAAATTGCCTGTACTTAGCTATCCTCAACATCCATTCTCTTGAAATTGCCTGTACTTAGCTATACTCAACTACGGAAAGTTTATTCTGATGTCATCTTTTATTTAAAGAGAAAACGCTTGGTCTTTATTTTGGGTCCCATGACACTTAATTTGAGCCCAACTTCATAGTATTAATGCTGTCAGCAGATGTAGTTGTCTGTTGCCCGGTAATTTTAGATGAAATTTACGTATTTTGTCGTCAATTTGTGATAAATGGTGATGCTGTTAAGCCCTTGTGGTGGTCATATATACCGCTAAATTTGTGATAGATGGTGATGCTGTTAAGCCCTTGTGGTAGTCATAGATAACGCTATGGCTAAGGGCCTGGTGTTTCTGGCAGCTTGCATACGAAACCCTGTGAGGGAAATGATGTATGTAAACTGCGTTTGAGTATCCATGAGGTATCAATTTATACGATGTCATATCATTATGTTCTACAGGTCATTTAAACATAATTATATCTTGTCTTTCTTAGATTATTAAATTAGCCTAGTTATTTGCAAGTGTAGTAGCAATTGATTTTATTCCAATTGTCTTTTATTTGGTAAAGAACAGAAATATTTCATTTTCGTAGCACTTGCTAGTCCATACAATTTCACAAAGGATGGGGACCAAGATTCCTGGTTGTACAGGGGGACCCCATTCTCAACCAATTGATTAGCCAGACCTCTTTCAATCATTTGATACCGACCAATTGAAAGAGGTTGGAACAATAATATGCAGACAATGAAATTTTGAACTTGATGATCTGATTCATTATTTGGTGGAGATGTTTATGACATGACATACATGTAAACATTGGGCTTTCATAATGGGGAAGAAGACATTTAAACTCTTGTCCAATAAGTACCGAAACCAGAACCAACTGCGAGTATTGTGCACTCAGAATTTTCTCCTCTTTCTTGTTTATTTTCTCTGAATATTTTAGTGTCTGCTTGCAGGCATTGAAGAATGCTGGGTTTTCAACCCAGCCTACTGCCCAGACCCTGTCTGGAACCAATGTTGCTACAGGACCTGCTCTTCCTCAACACCTTGCTGTGCACCCATATTCCCAACCTACTCTTCCTTTGGGACCATTTGCAAACATGATTAGCTACCCTTTTTTGCCTCAAAGCTATACATATATGCCTTCTGCTTTCCAGCAAGCATTTGCTGGTAACAGCACGTATCATCAATCTCTGGCAGCTGTACTTCCTCAATATAAAAATAGTGTTTCTGTCAGCAGCTTACCTCAGTCTGCTGCTGTTCCTTCTGGGTATGGCGCCTTTGGGAGTTCAAACACCATCCCTGGAAACTTTCCAATGAATCAACCTGGTGCTCCCGCAGGCACGACCACAGGATATGAAGATGTTATGAATTCCCTGTACAAGGACAGCAACAATTTGATATCTCTTCAGCAGGTACTCTTTTTAGGCATTTGGAATCTATCTAAAAATCCTTGATGATCCAAATTTGTTTCCAACAACATATTGACATACTGGTTTGCTATTTGGAGCTGTATTAGACTTACTAGTTTAGATGCACGGACACTTTTAGAAGTGCCATGTGCCTGTGTTAGACACGTCTCAGACATTACACTCCTTGAACATTGTTAGACCTGTTTGACACCTCTTCAAACTGTGCCTACATTGGAAAGTAGATATCTTAATTTCTTCCAGGTATCTTACACTTCTTAAACACTTAGCATCATGAGATTAAATAGAAGTGTAAAATCCGAATGTGACTCTCCTTTTGTAAAGAAAAATATAATTGAAAGCCAAAGTGAAAAAGTGGCACATAAGAGGATCTAATAAAAGGAGGGGGAATTGCAAGATGATAGGAATGGTCATAATTATGTTACGATTCATGTGTTAAATAATTTAGATATTGCATTACACAATATGTAATAATGTTTGCTGCACATATTATGTAGCTTAATACACCTGTGTAAACCAACTAACTCTGTATATATAATATTCAATTGTTGCCGTGTCCTCGACGCATACATGCATTACTTTTTTTGAGCGGCCCCTGGCCCAAAAAAGAGGGAAACATAAGCAAGTTGTTTTGTTCTAAATTAGTTGTTCCCTTTTTTTAAACTCATGCTGTCCTGTCATTTTTTCAGAATGAAAACTCAGCTATGTGGCTACATGGTCCTGGTTCCAGAACAATGTCAGCTGTTCCTGCCAGCACATATTATGGCCTCCAGGGGCAGAGTCAACAGCCTGGTGGATATCGCCAAGGTCAGCAGCCTTCACAGAACTATGGAAATCTTGGTTACCCTAATTTCTACCCTTCCCAGACCGGAATCTCACTGGAACATCAGCAGCAGAACCCTAGGGATGGGTCCCTCAGTGGCTCTCAGGGCCAACCTAAACAGTCCCAACAACAGATATGGCAAAATGGCTACTAATCTCCTCATGGTTTTTCAGGGCCTTGTAGTGAGTTTGAGAGTGGCCAATCAAGGCATTCCCGCGGTTGAAGAACATTGATGCATAATGTTCATAAGCGGACTTGACTGGCTGCTGCCCTGTGCCTTGAGTTTGTAATTTGGATTAGTGAACATTCCTCTTTGTTTCTTTTATCTTTTTTTTTTTTGGTCTTTTCTATTCGTGTTTACCTTTTTCTCACTTTAGAATGAGCTGTGTTCTTGAGTCCCGTAGGAGTGTTGAGGTTACCATGATTTGCTAACAATTTTTAACCTGACCCTGTACTAGTTTACAGAAACTAATGCTAAGGTTTCCACGTTTCACCAATATGTTGTTGATTGTTTGCTGTCTTTTTTCTTAAGCTTCTTGTATAGCTCATGAAATAAGCTGTTTGTGAAACTGAAATTCATTTGTTATGCAGGAAGTCACTAACGGAATGAAATGATAAGCTCTGTTAAGTAGTATAATTTATATTTTACTGCAATGTGCACAACTCTCATGGGTGTTCTAGTCTTTTCATTCAATTATTGCGATATGTAAGCAGCAAACTCGGATTCGAGAAGAATATCTTATTTTTTTGTTAAATTTTTTTGGTAGTAGGAAGGGGAATTTTGCACAAAAAATGGATAGGGTAAAGACGCTATGAGATGCCGGCTGCTGACTCAAGTACCCCTGAATTGCGCTAATGATCGTCTACGACCCGGTTCACCAATTCCTCTATTTTCTTTAAACCTAAGTTTTGCCAGTTCTTGATTAAAAGTTATAATCCTAATTGAAAATTGCTTATTAGTTCATGAAGCCACCCCAACTGCCAATCTGCTTAGTAGCTCAAGTGAAAAGTTATAATCTTCTCCACAAAATGGAATAGTCTAGTGGGATATTGGCTGAATTTTTTATTCTGAGATAGGGGGTTTGAGTCTTGGAGTTTACATTGGGGCTCGATAGTTGACTCCTATGTTAGTCTAACTAGGTTTGGTCTCGAGAGGTGTAATGAGCGCAGTCAGAGATCTCATGATCCCACCAATGAGGACTTATCAGAGTGGTCTCTGAACGCTCTCTTTTAAAAATCAGGTTATAATCTTAATTGAAAATTTGGTATGCATTCTTTCTTGGACATTTTAATGAATATTTGCTATAATGGTTCTCAAGATTATATTGCATGCATGTGTGCAGGAGAATACTATGGTATTGATTTTTCAGATTTCGGTATCACACATTTCGAAAACTAAAAAATATCTTTAAAAAGTGATAAATTTGACCTAAAAAGTGATAAATTACACAAAAAAATGTGATAAGTGAACCCGAGAAGTGATAAGTGACTCGATACGCCTAAAAAGTTGGTAAATTCACTTGAAATGTGGTATATTTAATCAGAAAGTGACAAGAGGTATGTACAGTACCAAATTTTCTTTTCTGTTACTGTAATCAAATCCAGGTGTACAATATTTCAATAGGCCTGTGGGCATAACCATCCTTTTAGAAGCATAAAAGACCCAATCCTTCAAAATAAGCAATCNAATGAAATGATAAGCTCTGTTAAGTAGTATAATTTATATTTTACTGCAATGTGCACAACTCTCATGGGTGTTCTAGTCTTTTCATTCAATTATTGCGATATGTAAGCAGCAAACTCGGATTCGAGAAGAATATCTTATTTTTTTGTTAAATTTTTTTGGTAGTAGGAAGGGGAATTTTGCACAAAAAATGGATAGGGTAAAGACGCTATGAGATGCCGGCTGCTGACTCAAGTACCCCTGAATTGCGCTAATGATCGTCTACGACCCGGTTCACCAATTCCTCTATTTTCTTTAAACCTAAGTTTTGCCAGTTCTTGATTAAAAGTTATAATCCTAATTGAAAATTGCTTATTAGTTCATGAAGCCACCCCAACTGCCAATCTGCTTAGTAGCTCAAGTGAAAAGTTATAATCTTCTCCACAAAATGGAATAGTCTAGTGGGATATTGGCTGAATTTTTTATTCTGAGATAGGGGGTTTGAGTCTTGGAGTTTACATTGGGGCTCGATAGTTGACTCCTATGTTAGTCTAACTAGGTTTGGTCTCGAGAGGTGTAATGAGCGCAGTCAGAGATCTCATGATCCCACCAATGAGGACTTATCAGAGTGGTCTCTGAACGCTCTCTTTTAAAAATCAGGTTATAATCTTAATTGAAAATTTGGTATGCATTCTTTCTTGGACATTTTAATGAATATTTGCTATAATGGTTCTCAAGATTATATTGCATGCATGTGTGCAGGAGAATACTATGGTATTGATTTTTCAGATTTCGGTATCACACATTTCGAAAACTAAAAAATATCTTTAAAAAGTGATAAATTTGACCTAAAAAGTGATAAATTACACAAAAAAATGTGATAAGTGAACCCGAGAAGTGATAAGTGACTCGATACGCCTAAAAAGTTGGTAAATTCACTTGAAATGTGGTATATTTAATCAGAAAGTGACAAGAGGTATGTACAGTACCAAATTTTCTTTTCTGTTACTGTAATCAAATCCAGGTGTACAATATTTCAATAGGCCTGTGGGCATAACCATCCTTTTAGAAGCATAAAAGACCCAATCCTTCAAAATAAGCAATCATTCAACTAAGAGTCCAATATTCCCACATCATTTTTCTTATCTTTAAAAAAAAAAACGTACTCTTTTTATAAGACTCTCCATTACAACAAAGTTTAGTAGTAGTAGAGACAAACAACAGGCAACTTTATCCTCATTGTGGAGAGATCAATTCCAAAACTTAATAACTCAGAAATATATCAGATTTTCAGTAGCCCACTGTTTCTTTTAGATGTTTTTAGTGGAGTAATACAACAGCAATGCAACTTAAGAGTGATTGATCCGATAAGGTCTTCCCATACATTGCAAAGTAATCAGCTACCATAATTCACAAGCAAGTCCTGGGACAAGACTTTTCAGGTTTGAGTAATGCATCGAATTTGCCACATCTGCTCTGTTGTGTGGGTGAAGCTTCTTGGAGCTATCGAAACTCATTTGAAATTATTCTTGGGAACAATTCTCCATGAAGTAACACTAATATCGTTTGATGTTCAATCTCTGGTTCAAAATAATGAAAAATATGTCGATCTTTTGATAAGAACAGAGCTTTTAAACCCGAAAATGGAAGCATCATCCCCTAAGAAGAAAGTAAATTAAAGCCAACATTGATGCTCATACACCAGCAATCAAGAAAATAGAAACCAAAATCAGAAAAGCCTGCCTTGCTCCTTCCTCTTCTGTTAGTAACCCATGAATCACCCCAGCAGGGATTTTGTGAAATGTTCACGTGCGGTGGCCAATGCTTGACTAATTGTCTGCATAAACAAGAGTTCGTAAGTTAAACCGCTGTCAAAAGAATTGAGTTTGATTTTGATTGTGAGACGTTTCACATTTGTTTATTCAATTTTTTTTAAAGGAAACAAACCATTTACTAATAATAGAAAAGATGTAGTACAATAAAAGAGCAAAGGTGGACAAGTAGTCCAAACCAAATGCCCCCAAAACATAAAAAGTCCTACACGGACAAAAAGCAAAGACTATGTGTTTTTTCTAATAACCGCAAACAGCAGACCAACGATCCAAAATGCCGAAAAGGGGTATATTCTCAAACTTCTTGGTGAGCAATGCCCAAAAAGATACTTCTAAACATTTATCGACTGTGTGAGAACATAGAAGTATCAGATCTACAATACCTGCTCAGATAAAGGTGCTCCGGGATCCATACTATGGGTTGCAACCTTCCCCGCAATAACATCTGCATCAGTTTCAAGAATAATTCTGCACAGGACATAAAAGGCGTCGTATGATTAACAAGATAATAAAACATTTGCTGACTTCAAGGGCTATTCAGAGGACCGGAAGCAACAGAATTAAAAGCTTAATTAGTTAGAGAGGTGGAACTTAAGCATGCATATCCCTAATATGACCTTCACATGCGGCCATAATTTTCTTATGTAGGGCATAAGCTAAAATAGGCCACCATAGAAACTGGTGGGTTCCAACGAATTAAATCTTTTGATCTTTTTTTAAACAAGTCATACACAAACATAAGCTGTTATAGACAACAACTGGCGCAAGGAAGCAATGCTTACCCTCCATCAACAATTTCATCAATGCATAAAAGAATGAGATCCAAATTCTCAAGTGCCTCCGTTTTGTCTACATTGCCCCTGAAACACAAGCACCAAAAAATGACAGCTTAAAAAAATTGTGTTGCACTAATGAGGCAAGTAACAAAAAATACTTATTGAAAATACCTAAGAAGAATACCAACAGCATCAAAGAAACCATTAAGAACAGTGGCTAATATTAGCTCATTCTCATCTTCACCCCCTGTAACAAAGAAGTGAAGGTCTTGAACAAACTTGTAGACAATAATGGTACTTTCCAACATTGTAATCTCCGCTGCAAATAAATTAGCAAGACAGTCAGTAGGCAGCACCAAATGCAACTTAAACCAAGATATTGTGTCTTCACCCTCTCAAAAGGAGGAAGGCATGGAAACTCAATGGTGCATTATACATATTGACTCAAACATAGTAACCTATGGGATGGAGGAAGAGGAAAAAACCAAAAATTTCACATAGTACTTTTGATCAAAAAAATCAATCCGATTTATTTCGTACCCTTCGCTCAATGAGAAAATGGGTCAAATTTTAAAGGATCAAACCTATGGGACTTGAGGAATGATATAAAAAAAGAGAGAAAAATATTCAATTAAAAAATAAGCAAATAGAAATGAAGTAGAAGAACCTAGATTCCAAATGAACAAATTCAACCTTGAAAAGGATCTTATTGATTCTCGAAGAATGAGGGGCAAAGGGATTGATCGAGAAAGATCTCTTGTTCTTATTATAAGATTGTGATTGGATCCACATGTGTAGTAAAGAGAACAATCTTCTCCTTTGAGAATAATCAAAAGAAAAATGGAAAGTGTTCAATTGGAATATGAAAACGTGACTAAATTGATCCTAGTTACTCTTCGGGACAAAGTTGAAGAATGGAGGGGATTCTCAAATGTGGAAAACGATCCAAAACCCGAGTACCCATGTCGTCCAGACTACGACTGGAACCCCCTAACTTCCCCTTTGCTGACGAAAGGAGATATACTATTAGTAAATGCTTGAGAATTTTATGAGCAAAAGTATGCCCTTTCAATATTCTAAACACAGTTGGTGTGTAAATGCTCAAAACACCCGAGATACACACAAAGAAAGGAAGCCATCACAAGGTATTCTGAAGTAATACAGAACCTTCTGTCCGGGCGTTCGTCTTTTGAGTCTTCGTAAATGCAGATTTCTCAAAAGCTTCCTTTGCACTATTCGTAGGCCAGTCATCAGAATAATACTTGACGGCTATGCGTTTCCCTTCAGAATCTAGAAGAAGAATGTTCTTTACAGAAGGGCAAGACTCCTACATTCAATGCTAATCACCAGTTAATATGAAATAAATGACAACAGAAGCTATTAACTATTGAGAACGGACTAAAAAAACTATTTGATCCATATTCAACGGTTGCCACTTTATAAAAACGCAATTAATTGATAGAGTTCCAGCAAAAACTCATCTAATCTGAACCTTCAAAATAGAAGCACAACAAAGTAAGGCAAAACAAACATACAAAATAAACCGCCACTTTTTTTTTTTGATGTCACTAGTGCAAAGCCCATCATGACATGACATCCTTTGATCTGGAAATTGACAATGAAGCTTGGCAAGTTGGATAACTAAGTAAATGTTATTCAACTTTACTGAATTGTTGTAGATAGATACTGAAACAAAAATATTAAGTAATGTCTGTGCAACTAGATGCACAGAGATAATAACAGGTTTGTATGCATTTATTTCCAGATAATCACAAATGTGCGCGTGCGCGTGCACGCATGAGGGTGTGTAGATATATAGCTTCCTCTGGATGTTTATGTGAACTGGATTACCTCGAAATTTTTATTCCAAGCCAATACCAGGTTTCATTGAAATCAATTAAAAAATGACGAGCTTTCTGACAAAATAAAGACTACCAGACTTGGTAGAAATTAGAATTCCTTAACTTTTACATAATTCCACTGCATCTCACATACAGCTCAGCCCTCAAAACACAAACCCCCAATACCAGTCTCTAAAATCAAGTAAAGATAAAGAATGATGGTTGCAATTTGGCCAAGGAAATGACAAACAGACTATGCCTAAAAACTGATAGCCATCACAGTATCTCAACTTCTTATTAAGTGTTCCAACTCTGCCATCAAAACATATACACACACACAGCCAACCACACATGATCAAAGCCAAACTAATTTTTTATAAGATCAACACCATATGCTTTACCCCTAATTATAGATCTGTGTTCAATATCACAGAAAAGATACGAATCTACACTTAACAGATAGAAACCACCAAACCCAAAATCCGAAAAACCTCTTCAAGAAATCAAAACAATATCACATTATAAACCCATATCAAAATTAAACACAACTAACAAACCCTTAATTCAAATTCGGTTTAATCCTCAAAACCAAAACAAAAAGAGCATACATTAGCTAAAAGCAATCTGAGAACTAATAATGTGTCAACAGTCAAGAAAATTGAGTGATTAAAATAGACAAATTGTATTACTCCAAGAGAAGAGAACCGACCATTGTTACTTTCAGGAAAATGTCTCTCAGGATCTTCGGGGAGAGAGTGATTCTGAGAGAGAACTGTGGAAAATTGTTGTCAAAAGTGGAATATAGGCGATGCTGGATCGAAAATTCGCTTTGCCCCGATACAACGAGTGGTTGAATCAAAACTTCAATTAATGAAATATTTTTAGGTACTTTTAGTTATTTCGAAACATTTTGAGTTCTTGACCAAAAAAAAAAATAATAATATTTTGAGTTTGTATAAATTTAGGGTTGACAATCATGTTGTGTCGGGTTATTTTGAGTTTGTATCGAGTATTAATTAATTTTAATTTAATTCGTTTAATTAATTTTATTGTGTCGAGTCGATTTATTTATTTTCGTGTCGTATTCGTATTGGCTGATATTACTTATGAGTAAAAATTTTAATTTTATTTTTAAAATTTTATTATCACTTAATTGAACCTAAGCTTATACTTTTTTTATAAACCAAAAAATTAACTTAATAAATATAATAATAAAAATGAGTAAAACTACTTGATAAAATATAATAAAAAAATTAACATTTTATTCTTATAATGCTATTTAATTGTGTTAATCGTATTAATTTTGTGTCACTAATCTAACCTATTTATTATTTGTATTAATCGATCATGTTATATACAAATTTGTGTCAAAATATTGTATTAATTTCAAATCGTATTCGCATTAAATGTTTATCTATCTCCTGATAATGGACCTCAGATTAATTTTTCCTAAACATCTTACAGCCACATATAATCTTGATAGCGAAAACAAAAAGATTTTTCTAACATTAAAGTCATTGTGGGCCATGTTTTATTGATAATTACAAATAATTACAAAAGGAAAAGGGTGACATTAGGTCTGTCAATCACGTCAAGCGGATCAAGTTCACGTCAGATTTTAACGAGTTTATGTTCAAAAACACTCAACTCATACTGATTTAATTCACTATGACATTTAAATTAACTATAGACTCCTTCAAACATTAAAATTTAGTGATAATTCACTAGTTCCACTGAAACCACATCATTATGTTAACAAATTAGGTAAAATTTTTAGATCCAGATAAATTTTTTTTTGATACTCGGATATTCTCTGTGCGTAAACTACACTTGAACCCCCAAGTTTGTTCAAATTACAAAAAGACCGAATTTGATTGGCTTTGCCAAGCTTACGTAAATGAGCCCAATCAACAACAGTTGGAGGATTCAGTGGTGGCCTAATGACCAACTACCCCGTCATTGGACCTCTAAGCGTCGCGGGAGCAAAAACAACTGACTTGGTCCACCTCAACTCGAATAGGTTGTTGTTTATAAATAATTTTTTTTTTATTTTTAGCTAGCTATTTTTTTTCCCCCACGGTGAACAATCCTAAATTTATATCCAATGGCTTCTAACTAATGCATTTCTTTATACTTTTTTAATCCTATACATTTTCACAATAATCTAAACTCTATGGTCTTGATTATTTTAAAATTGATTATTTGTATTCTATAATATAATTTTTGAAATTTTTACTAATAAATTAAGTTGGGTCTTAGCTAGGCTTGCCAATGGATCGAATTTTGATCTGAATTCAATTAACCAAATATGGATTAATATTTTTGTTTCCAATAATCTGAATTTGATATCTTATATTTCACGAATTTGTATTTGAACATATTTATATCTGATCCGATTATAATTTGATCTGAATTATTTATGTATTTTTTATATAAATATTAAACAAATTTAGTTAATCGGATCATATTTTAGATTGTTAACAAATTCAAATATAGATCATGAAAAAAAATACGTTGAATTCATGTTAGAGTATTGAAATCGGATTTTGATCAATCATAATCAAATCCAAATTTGATATGTTAACAGGTCTAATCTTAGCTCAAATGCTAGCAATTTTTTGTTGAACTAAAATTGAGAAAAATTGAATTTCAAGCTTGATTCAGTGCAACCAAATCAAATCTAAATATATTTAAGATTGTTAGCTCAATTTATTCACACCTCGATATGTTGCAACATAAAAAATATTTCGTGTAATATCAAAATTTCTCCTCTTGGATCAGACCACTTTGGTAAATCCAAATTTGACATTATTTAAAAAAGATTTTCTTATTTCACTTATTTTTTTCCAACTCAATTAAAACCCTTTTTATAGACCTTCTATCGCTAATTATTCACCGGTATGTTGATCTAGATCTATAAATAATAATCCTACAACCATTGATGTACAAAGATGGTGATAAAAAGCAATTAGAAAAGATTCTTTCTTACTCGAAACAATATCATCTAAATTTTTGAATCACATGTTCAAATTTTCTTGGTTTGTCCATGTGCGTGCTGATTTTTACACAATAGTTGAAGTAGAAACAGATTTCTCCCAGGATGAATTATGGTTCGTCAAGATGATAATTCTGGCAAAACAGGAATAGGTTGGGCAAGACAAAGGGGATCTAAGCAGCAGTGAAGATTTGCTTTCATCATATCTGATCGGCTCCGGCTAAGATTCGACCCATCTGAACGTGGGTTTTGGCAACAAGAAGTAGGTTGAGAGGGACAAAGGGGTCCTAAGGACTGGTAATGAATTGTTTGTTGGGTCGCCTGACCGGTCCTGGAAGACTGTGGAGGGATCCTGTGACACAGAAAAATAAGTTAGAAGGGTATTGGAGTGCTCTCCGGCGTATCCCCTCTAACGATCAAGTTAGTTCTTTGAGAGAGGGGAAGAAAAAAGCACTGTGTAGTTTTTTTTAGAAATTCTTGCATACCTTTGCAATGCATTTTTCAGATCTATTTATACCTTCAAAAGCTCATGATTGCTGATAGTCCATCCAGCAGGTATTTGTCAGAGATGGGGCATTGTGCCCCTTACTTTTATGGGGAATGAGTTTTGTTTTAACTGATCGGGATGTTGAGCATTTAATGCTCACTCCTCGATCTGCCGAGCATTTGATTTCCCTCTCTCGACGAGGATGCATTAAATGCCTAGGTATGAGAGTCTTTAATGCACTTCACTTCTCGACCCCCATGCCTTAATTGCTGTCTCATCGGGAGGAGGATTCATTAAATGCTTACTTGCTCAAGTCATGTGTCAGCAGGGGTACTCAAGTCTTTTTGCTACTGATTTGATATCACATTCCACGCGTCCACTCTTCCTTGGCTGTATGTTCTGTATTCCTACGCCTCCTGACACCATGGAACAGAACGTCGTTATAATGGCTAGCCTAGCCTGGCCTAGGCTAGTCATCTTTCAATCATTAGCTTTTATAGAAGCAGAGGAGGGGTGGGATCCAGCGTGTAGAAGGAACACCTTGACACTAAGGGATACTTGCATACTTTGGGGTAAAAGGTTTACACCAAGCCGAGGATATATGTGTCAATCACGCTGATTGGGGGGTCCCTCAACTCTGAGCATTGTCACCTTGGCAGAAGGGATGAGTGACGTCGAGCACATGTGGCTATATCTGGCTGGGAACGTAAAGATGCCGAGGACACGTGTCGTCGATCTGTTTCCTTCTAGAAATTTCTTATCAACTGCCCCCAGCCCTTTGATCTTCTAACGCAGAGGGAGACGTGTCGTCAGAAGGTGAAGGGTTTTGTAAATGCCCCAACCACCTCATCATTGCTCCCAGCCATTTTTCGTCGTTTCGGAGATTGTGCGCATTAAATGCGCCTTTTAGTGTTTCGTGCACAATGATGGGACAGTTATTATATAAACTGAACCCCCTTCCTCTTTGTACACTTTTAGTTTACCCAAAAAATCTCACGAGAGCTTTTGCCGGAAAACTCCTTAGAGAACTAGCTGCACCACCGCCTTTCCAGCCATCACCAGACCAAAAACACCTGCACCACCTTTGCCACCAGATTCTCTGACGAAGAAACGAGTCTTTCTAAGCTTCCAAACCCTTTCCTTAGTTCTCTGGTGAGTCTTCGCTTTCTTTTTCTTTCTTTTCCTTCTTCCTTCTGGTTTTTCCGGTGATCGGTGGTCTTCTTGGTCCCCATTAGTCTCCCCAGTGGTTTGGAAAACTCCTTAGGATCTTTTAAGGGGAGAAATCCTCATTTCCTTTGTAAAGATGCCTAGGGCCCGCCCTAACACCGAGATCCAAAGTGCCGGTCCCTCAAGGCTAGGGAAATACAAGGTTAAGGGGGATCAGCAGATGGAGAGTTTTAGAGCCCGTTATCGCATACTCAGTAATGTTGGTATAGAAGAATTTAAACCTACTCAGCATAATCGTGATGTTGGGACCGAGAATGCAATGCCTTTCTATACCAAGCCTATCATAAAGGTTGGGATAAGATTCCCTTTGCCCCTTTTACTTCTTCAATTCCTCTCTCGGTTCGATCTCGTCCCCGGACAATGTTGCCTGAATGTCTTTAGGATAGTAATGGGGGTCCTAGAACTCAACAGACATCTTGGGGTCAATCTTGGTCTTGATGACATTCTCTTCTGCTATTCCTTGTTGAGGGTGATGCCCCAGCAAAATTTCTATCTCAAGGTTAGGGACCCGTCCATGTATCTAGTGACTCACCTCCTTGACTCAAACAAGGGGTACAAGGACGACCTGTTGGTCTTCAGTGGGGTTTGGGAGAGAGGAACTGGCCCCGAGTATGCTGGTTTGAGGTGCCCCCTATAGTAGAGAACGAAAAGTACGTCGGCCTCTTTGTGCTTTCCTTGTTTATGTCTTCTTTAAATGTCTTGCCAATTTTTAACGAGATCCTTTCTTACTTGCGTAGAAATCTCTGCTCACGAAGTTGCTCCTCCTTCCCAGCGCTTGGTGAATTTTACTGACCTTGCCATTGTTTGGGGACACGTCGGTGGTGACGGTTTTGGCCGAGCTGGACACATTCTCCTGGGTTACACGCCAGGATACAAAAAATTTTCTCAACTCCCTCAACCCTTTGATCTTTCACGGTGGTCCGAGCTTTTCGACCAGGCAGTGCAGCAAGACCTTGAGTAGGACTTAGAAGGAGATCTCGAAAGAGCCACCGAGACTGAAATTGAGGGTGTCACTGAAGTAGAAAGACTNTAGTCTCCCCAGTGGTTTGGAAAACTCCTTAGGATCTTTTAAGGGGAGAAATCCTCATTTCCTTTGTAAAGATGCCTAGGGCCCGCCCTAACACCGAGATCCAAAGTGCCGGTCCCTCAAGGCTAGGGAAATACAAGGTTAAGGGGGATCAGCAGATGGAGA